ACAGATAATCTCCGAAAGTACTCGACCGATTGTTGTGAAATTTTGTACTTATATTAAGAATATCATGTAGATGGTAAAACGCTAACCAAAATTTGTCTAATCATCCCCACCACTAATGCGATGACGTCACTTCAAAATTGTACATAGTAAATGGGTTTTCAATTGTATAAAATAACATAGTCCTACACATGTAGTTTACAACTCCGAATCGACTTTTCACCCGAAACGTCCAGATTTTTGGAAAAAAAATCAAAATTATAAAACAACATTTTGAAATTTAATTTTTAATCTGCTAACCAGAATGCTTTGAAATGTTGCAGATGTTTTAAGGCTATGAAGAGCATCATAAATCTTTAGTCAAAAAATATTTGCTTACCCCCTCCAAAAACTTGATGACGTCAGCTCAAAAGTTTGTGGAATAAATCATATCTAAAATGTACAAAATATGATGAGTCTGTACTTGTGATCTATCACTCCATTAATATTTTTTGGATTTGCATATACAGGGTGACTCAAAAAAATTAATGAATGCGTAAATATATTTTAATTGATTTAATCAGGAACTACAAAACCGAATGCTCTGAAATCTTGCAGATGTTTTAAGGTCATAAAGAGCATAATAAATGTTTAGTCAAAATATATTTGCTTATCCCCTCCAAAAACTTGATGACGTCAGCTCGAAAGTTTGCCGAATAAATCATATCTAAAATGTACAAAATATGATGAGTAGACAGCGGATTTCTGTCGGGCTTGGCAAGGCCAAACTCGGTACGGCTCGTGCGGGATGGGAATTCAGAACAGTTACTAGCTGCACTTCGTCTATTTTCGAATAAAATAACGGTGCTTCGTTGTACTTTGCTGTTAATTCCCGTTCTCATTTACCTAGCTGTTTTACGAATTAAGGTTTCGTGAATTGTATTTATGGAATAAGTGAAAATTAAATGCACTGATTATTACCCGCTACTGATTCACAGCGATTCACGCGTCCCCACCTAATAATCGTGACGTAGCCCGACAGAAATCCGCTCTCTAATGATGAGCCTGTACTTGTCATTTATCACTCCATTCATATTTTTTGGATTTGCATATACAGAGTGACTCAAAAAAATTAATGAATGCGTAAATTTATTTTATTGATTTAATCAGGAACTACAAAACCGAATGCTTTGAAATCTTGCAGATGTTTTAAGGTTATAAAGAGCATAATAAATTTTTAGTCAAAATATATTTGGTTATCTTCTACAAAAAACTGATGACGTCAGCTCAAAAGTTTTCCGAATAAATCATATCTAAAATGTACAAAATATGATGAGTCTGTACTTGTGATTTATCATTCCATTCATATTTTTGGATTTGCATATGCAGGGTGACTCAAAAAAATTAATGAAGGCGTGAATTTATTTTATCGATTTAATCAGGAATTACAAAACCGAATGCTTTGAAATCTTGGGAATATTTTAAAGTTATTATAAGCATGGTAAACTTTTGTTCAAAATGTATTTGTTCATCCCTCCTAAAAAAATTGATGACGTCACCCTTAAATTTTGCTGAATAAATCCTATCTAAAATGCAAAAAATATGATGAGTTTGTACTTGTGATTTATCATTCCATTCATATTTTTTAGATTTTCTTAAGAGGTGGTTCAAAAAAATTAATGAAGTCAATTTATTTTATTGATTAAATTAAAGGCAACACTTATTATTAGTATTACACCCCAACCAACCCAATTTGGTAGACACAAAATTTGTTAAAGGAAAAACTCGGTTGAAACATAAGGGTAGCACGCTTATTTACATCGACTTTAACATTACAGACCTGCATTTGTTTTATGCGTTCACTTGATTCCGCGAATGTGAAATAGACATGTTTATAATCAACCAATTGTGAATTTCACCGTCAAGAATTAAAATAAAACCCAATGTTTTATATAATAAGCGGAAGTCGAAGCAATAAAACCGACGGTCGTTTTGTTTACAGTTTCTGTGTTTGGCTCTCACGTATGCTGTTACGCCTGTCATCTTAAATTAAGAATGTTTATACATACACGATTTTCAGTTGCCTCTGATACGTAGGTATACGTGAGTAAATTGTTTCGTTATTTTATTGATTATTACAAATCAATATTCAAACGACCCAATTCATTTTCCCGAAAATTTGAGAATATAATAATTTTATTCTTAGTATTACACTACATCTATCCCAACTGATATACGTGTCCTTGCAAAAATGTTGATGACGTCATCGCAATTTTTTTTTAAATTCCCACTACAAAAATGTAATGAGAAAAAAAACACAATAGGCATGCAGTCGTCAAGTTTCCGACAGCGAGGGAAGTACTGTCTAAACTCTTTAGACCAATTTTTTTATATTTGTATCAATGTTTCCTATTCGTTACTATTATACTTCTGTCAGTCTTTGTACGTACAAGCTGCTATATCTGTAACAATATATAGGGTGTTACGTTAAAAAAAAGTATGTTACTGACATTTTTGAAATTAAAAATAAATTTGTTCCTTTTTATTGTAATCAATTAGTTTTATCTTTTAATAAGATATGAAGAATTTAGGCAACCAGTTATACAGATGCGTGAGTATCTGTCGTGAGTCTTTGGGCATTTAGTAAAATCCGCATAGTGATAGGCGGCACGCTTCCATGACCTACTTCGACTCTATAATCATTTATAGAAACCCTGTATAAGATTGTAGTCATTGAAGAGTCAGTTGATAACGCATCAAGCAGATTCTAAAATGTTCCATTTGAAAAGAAGGCTACTTCAGAATCTGTAGACGACGACAAAAGTTTTTGGACTGAAGACAAAATTGTTGGAAATGTTTTGAACATTCTATTGAAGAAACAGAGGCACGGCAAGAAAAAGAAAGCCAACTGAAGACGTAGAAAACATTTTGCCAATGTTCTGTTACGTTGGAAAAAGAAAAAATAAAACATATGTCTATGACATTCTCTTATTTAATGAACTTTAAGAACATACTGAAGACTGGGGGATTTAGGATTAGGATTTCTCAATGGGGTGTGAAAGTTGGAAAGAGAAAATATTAAAACGAAGAAAAAATGAACTAAAACGCACCCATTCTTTCAGCCATACCACTATAAAAGTTAAATTAAACTGATGGTCATTAACCTAATTATTTTTATGAAAAATAAAATTTTATATTAGTTTCTTGTTTTAGAACTACACGCGTCACCCTTCCGGTAAACCATTTTTTTTTTGCATTCCTCACGCAGACTAGACCTCGCGCTACCTAGAAAATGCAAATCCTGCAAAGTCGCTGTAATTCAAGACATCTTTTTCTATTTCAGCCAAGCAGAACTGCGTGGTCGACGAAAGCTTTATTACAATATACAAATATCCTACCTGCAGGCTCGCAAACTTCTTGCATCGCTGGCGCCGCAACAGTCCCAGCAACTCCGCGAAAACAAAAATTATTTGTTATCGCAGAAAACAAATCGTTCATTCAGATTTAACAAATAATCAAACGCCCACTCGGTCGCCTACTTTGTGCATTCGATGCACATTCGGCATGCGCTTTGCTGCAACACGACGGAACATTCGTTCAATTTTTTAAAATTTACTCTTTAGAGGCGCCAAAGCTGTCAGGAAACGCAAGAAATCCCCAGATTTGGTTCTTCCTCCGGTGAATTTGTGGCGTTAAAAGCGATTAAGCGTGTTATTGTAAACTAATTTAAGTTTTGTGCGGCGAATTAAAGTCAGGAGATAGCTGGAAAGGGCGCACTTCCGGAATAATGGAATTCTCTCGACAAAATAGGAGTTGCAGGAGTTTGGCGGAGTTAACTTAGTCATGTTAACACCGCTAAATACAAAATTACACATAATTTGGTCTTCGCAAATTAGATCTATAGAAACGGCGCTTTATGTCCTATAAATTCTCGTTGTTACGACCCCATTGCCTCTGACTATTAAATCAGCATTTGTTGCGATAATTTGGCTTGGCTTTCATAACTAGACGGCTGGACGGGCTCAGAAATAGTTTGCGGTGCAGAGGCACTACAAAATGTAATAAGAGGTGTATTTTCGGCTCGCTTGGGTATTTCGATTTGTGAAGATGAAGGTCAAACTGCACCACACTGTGGCTAAGGAAACCGAATGGAAGTGGACCACACAAAATGGTAATTTACCAGTTTTCAAGGATTCAGAATGAAATTTATATCTATTGTGTTCGAGGAACCTTTATGCAAGCGAGGCTGCAAAGTAACAGATATACAAACAACATGCATAATTTAAAAATGCAAAAAATTGGAAAAGAAATGTATCTTATTATAAGTGAATGAGCAAAACAGAAACAGCTGCATTTAGAGCAACCATATTATTGAGCTACGTCTTCTCATCCGAACATTGTTCTTTATGTAATCAGGTAGTAGTACAGTTACTCGTGTCTACGCACAATTTTTAAAGTGATGACACCCTCTCAACAACGATCTCGTCTCCTCTTTGTAACTAGTAAATGTTGAAGGTGACCTGGCACTTATAAAAAAAAATATATCTCTTTCACTATTTGGTGGCGGTTTTGAGTGTATGTACTTTGTTTATCGCATTAGCTTGACATTTTTGTTGGTTTATTCGAACTTAATTTCTAGATTTTGTTCGTAATAAAAAAAAGAAACATTCTGTGTCAAGTTGTCTAAAGCGAGGTATTTTCTGTATTATGCTGTCGCTAATTCTTATTTGAACTTTATTATTACACCATGACGCCACCAATTCTGGGCGTCTGGGTCCAAGGCTTTCCGAGTATCGGCTTCGGATTTCGTCCCGCGATTCATAGCCTCAGGTACATGTCGTCACGGAAACTCGTTAAAATTCAGCTACCGCCGCGTCACAGAAAAACAAAAACTAAGAAAATTACAGCGACACCAACCTGCTGCAAGTATTAATCTCTGGTAATTTCATCAGTGGTGCCGTTACGATCCGCGCTAGCCATCACGAATCCGTATATTTTTCCAAGACCCGCCATCCTTGACCACTTGTGAACCGTCTTTCGTCTCTCTTGGCCTGAAACTAAAACAAACCATTTGCATAAATCCACACCGTTCGGTTTGTAGCATCCCGTTCTGCCTCCTGCACCCTGACTCACTGTTTGTATCGAACGCTATTACGTTATTACGTGCAGCCAGGTGGTGCCTACAATCAAAGTGCACCTGGTGCGATTTCTCTAGTTCTCGTACGAACGCACAAAACGAAGGAAATTGCAGTGATGCAACCGGACCTCCACGGTCTCGCTGCCACAAAACAGCGCCTGTTCATTCAACTCGAAAAAAAGTAAACTTGTTCCAGTCCTCTAAAAATAGTTAAAGAATGGTCAAGGCTACGCCAGCAGCGTGAGACCGGCGTACTTTACCTGGTGGAGTGGTAACTCCGATTTCCTGCGTCCTGCCGCGTCCTTCCACTGACCGCTTTTCTTTTTCCAGGTTCCAGGTGATTCACGCCCGCACGATGACAAACGCAAGAAGAGCGATCGCTCCGCGATTACTAACATGATGGTCCGAGCGGGTACATATCAGTCGGTGCCTCAGCAGCGCTAGCGAAGACAACACGTGTTCGCAGGAGTGGATAAGTCGAAGATCGGTGTTTGTGTTCGTGCTAGTGAAAATGTGATTTCGGGTTGTGAAGATGCCCTCGAAAAAGCAGTACGATTTGGTGCAAAATGACGATTATGATACGAGGATTCCGCTGCATCCGGAGGAGGCTTTCCACCACGGGATCACGTTTCAGGCGAAGGTGAGTCGAGGGAAAGGTTAGAGCGGTGCGAGGCGAACGCGTGAGTTTTTATGGGCGGATTGTGTTTCTGCGTCTCTGGGATCGAGATAAATAAACGGCGATACGGAAATTACACGGTGCGAGGTGTACGAGATTAGAATGAGTGGAAAACGGTGGGCACGAGTGGGATTATGCGGTGCTGGGGGTGCGTGGGTAAAGTGATGGGTTTCCGGTTTCGCAGAAGCGTCGTCATAGGTCGATATGATTTCATTTTTTGATCATCGTGGAAATAATAGAAATTTGTAAACTTCTGATGCAGTTAAAAGGGTAATTTTACGAGCTCTGGGGTTTTCAAAATTTTTTTCGACAGCTACGTAGTTTTTTGTTTTAATTGTCTTATAACCAGCAACCAACCAAAACTGATCAAAAATTATTTAAAATTCAAGCAGTGGCGAATCACGTCTGTTGACTCCAGCGACTGTGTTAAAGTAACCAGAAAATTAAGACTGTACAAACCCACTTTTTGCTCTACCACAATTAGAATAAAATCTTCAATACTGACCTAGTTTAAAACGAAAAAACCTTCCGAACATCATATCCTGTGTTTCATAATTTTTTGTTAATAAAACTGTTGTTTATTAATGAATTTTTATTAATGAACTGTTTTACCACACAGTTAGATCAGAAAGTAAAATAGTCTGAAGTTATTTACATAGAATTTTCCTCGCCTCTGAAGGGTAACAAATACAGGATGTTTGTCAGGTTGCGATTTTTTAGAAGATTTGTTTAATACACTTGAGATGACGTCATTAACTTGTGCCTAGTGACCTATATATTAATTTCGACGCATACAACCAACGCTAATTTTGTTCCTAGAATGTCAGGGAACTTAGATGAGTCGTTCTTAAAATAATCAACAAAATAAATTTGTTCAGTCATTTTTTAAACATCCTGTATAAACATTGCTAAAAAATACAAGTATGTTACCACATCTTCGGGCGATTTAATGTATTTTTTATGTCAGTGTTCGCAAGGGGATGAATAAACAAATGTTTGAAGTTTTTGCAGACATTTTAAGGTTATCATGAATGAATATGGTAAATCGCTGATCGGAGTTCATCGAGCTGTTCATAGTTTTAAAAACTTGAAGACGTCATCTCGAAATTTTGCTTGAAATTTGTAAACTAATACATTAAATAATAATTTGTCCATAGAATTTGTAATCTGTACAGAAAAAACGTTATTTGAAATCATCTACAATATTTTTTGATATTTTCTTTTATGTTCTTGAAGCAGTTTTATTATTTCTTTTATGTACCGACATGACATTGAAAAACACAAAAAATAATTAGCTTCTAGTTCCCACAACTAATGCAAGTAAGAATGAGTTGAAATAAGCATTTTATCACACGGTAGATGTTTCCACACCCAGTTAATAATCAGATTTATGTGTAAATTTATGAAGAGCTATTCTAGTTAAACGTTTATCAAAAATTCAAAAATCTTCGTAGCTCGGGAGATAATGACCCCACGGAACAAAAAACACATCAAAAAAACAAATTTGAGAAACTAGTTTACATGTTCAGTTATTCAATTTGTTCTCCATTAAGTCGCTCTCACAGTGCATAATTTTAATGCGATCCATCCTTCGGTAAACGTGTTATCATTTCATAAATTTCGCCAATAAGAAAGAGTATAAAAGAAACAGTGTTTGAATGGGCCCTGCGGTCTTTTAAATAAAACCGACGAGAAAAAAAAGGAAAACATCTTTTATGCGGTCGAAATTAATTTGTTATAAGGAAAAACTTTACGACGAAAAATTCAATGTGCCTTTTTTTTACAAGCGAGAGAAAAAGTATTCCTTGGTTTATATTTAACTTTTAATTAAAGAAAAAATATCGCAACGCTAAAGTAAACTTCTTTTCAGAAGGCGACGTTTCATTAATTTTAAGCACTTTGTACGTGAGCTTCACAGGTCTTATATGTTGCTCTGATTTAAATTTTTCGCTTCCTGGTCGGATGTAACACTTTAAAAGTACACACTTCTCCAAAAATTATAGAACAAAACACACTTTCTCAATTATATTCACATTGTAAATTGTGATCATTTTTTTTAATGGAAATTTTGCCTTAAAGCGATTCTGCTTAGAAATTTTCACCCCCATGAACGTACACAAACTTAGAATTTGCACTGCACCCTGCTCCCTTTGTAATCCAGCCGACTCCGCCAACTGCAAACCCAATTAAGCAATCCAGTCGCAATTCGTGCACAAATCTATAACAAAAATCGATTCGGAAAAGAACGACAAAAGTAATTAGTTTAAATAAGCCGGCCTCGGCGCTAATTAAATTTCTGAGCCGGGTGGCTTGCGAACACATTTCAAAATAAAAAAGCTTTGTCCCCTCGACAAACACACTTAATTAAGTGTTCGCAAAGAAAACACATTCTTTTCTCTCGAACGGCATCCGCGACAGCCCAGATGATATAATTGAAAATTGCCCGCATGTTTTAGCGCCTCCTCGAAATTCCTCGTCCGGCGAAATTTACAGATTAAGATTTGATTAAGCACAAACGGCATTCGGGTGAATTAAGCTGGCGAAAGTGTAGTTTCTTGTGTGTATCGCTGCCCTAAATTGACCGACTCCGGAACTGCCAAACTGGGGAAGTTGCTGCCAACATCTGCCCGTGGCGATGCGGCTAAGTGAATTAAAAGTTGCTAAAACTCCATGCAGATCGCACCTTGTTCGATGCACGAAGAGCCGATGGCGAGGGCAGTTGGAATCAGAAAATGGGCTAATTGCGTTTGGAATGAGTCGGTTTTGTATTGAGTTACAATGCGAATTGGAGTTCGTTTCATCTTGGGGTTTCTTGGCAGCTGTTCAAGTTATTTTTGGCCGGCAATGAAACATTGCAGGTAGATTCTATTTACTGTCAAATCGGGAAAATTAATCTTATAATCGGGCCCACATTCAAACAAACTTTGCCAATTTAAATAAGCAAAGATGATTAATGGAAAAATCCGGGGAAAGTTGTGGAGGGAAGAAGGTGGAGAACAATGGGTTTTCGAGGAGAGACGTATAATAAAACGAGAGACTGGATGTTGTAAACGGGGAAGTGTGTTCTTGATTTTATTTACTTCTTTTCGTGGTAGAGTGATTGCTACGATTTTCACGCAGACAAAGGCTCCTGTTAATTAATTCTTCAATATGGTTCGACGCATTGTTATACTTTTCACAATAACAAAGATTTCTTTATGTGGGTGAAGGTTTCAAAACTGGAAATTTTCTAACGAGCGCACAAAGAATTTGTTATTATCGGAAGCACAGAAGGAGACGGTAATTAAAACATCACATTTGAGTAATCAAACCGTTCGTTTTATTTAACAAAACATTCAGTTGAGACGTCGACAAAGAAATGGTCTTATGATGTACTAATTAGGTAAATTTTTATCAAATTGTTGTGTATTGTTTAATTTGTTTGATATTTTTCTCTACTGTAAGATTTTTTTAAATTCATTTTAACTGTAATCGGAAAAATTAAGGTTATTCACTTCCAGAGTGCTTTACTTAATCACTTAAATAATAATGTTCTAAATTGCGATCTAAATCTAATTACTGTTCTGCGTTTACATAAATGTAGCGGAAAGAATTCGAACACTGAATTCATTTCTTTCGCCATCTAACGGTTTAATTCAGATTTAAACTTGTAATAGCAATTTGTCTTTGAAATGAAAATGGGAAACACGAACTTCGAGCTTAAAAACATTCTTTATGATTCCTCTACTTTTCATGAGAGCACATGAGGGTTAGGCATTTCCTGACTCGCATATATCTGTATGGTAGATCGTTCATTCCTTAGTGCTTAGTCATAATTCTCCCGTTCTTTTAAGTGTCTAGCATAGTTTAAATTCAAGGCACCAACTGGAAATCCCAAACGACTTTAAGTCCCTTTTTAGGGTTCTGTCCAGTATAGTTTCCTCTATTTGTGGTTTATGAATCTACCTTGAGGCATTCAAATTTTCGCAAAAAAATCGACTTTGTGTAGCAACCTTTCATAGTATAAGCGGAGCTTCCACAAGAAACGGCCGAATTCAGGATTTCCCATTTTCTTTCCATTGAATTTCGCAAAAAATTAAGGTCTTCAGATCAACTTGAAAATCTGATTCCTAACAAATTTCCACCGTTGAATCCAAGATATTTCTACGGTTTACATCAGAAAAGCGGATTTTCCATAACTGTTTTTTCTAATCTACAGGTTTATGACTCCGTATAGTTTCAGTTTGAGAGAGCTGCAAATCAAGTACTTACTGTCCTTTTCCGATAAGGAGTGCAAAGGAAAAAATTCGAAAAAATCAGAAGGCTTAAAAGAGTCCTTTTGAGCTCGGATTCTTGTTCCAAAATTGGCGAAATAATGACAGTCCCTAGAACAGCTTAAAAATCGGTTTCTTAGCTAATTTGGTACCAACGAATTCTTCAGTGTGGATTTTTTTCGCAACACCCAGACTTTTTTTTTAATTTGACAAACTTTGTAAACCTAATTATGCCATTCTCCGATAGCTGGAAAAATTTTAGAAAATCCAGGAGGCTTCGTAGATACCGTTTTTCAAAATAAGACGTCAGGAACCTCTGAGAAGTAAAACACCTGGAACATCTCAGATTTTTTAAATTTGTTTAAAAGAAAAAGACGTAGGACTCTGAACATCTTTTCAAATTCTTTCAAAACCAAATTTTGTGGTTCCTCTAGAATGTTTGAAATTCTTTCAAAATAGAAGGGATTGCTGAAATTTTTCAATTTTTTTCAGGTACAAAACATCAAAGGCCTTTGAATTTTTTTAAAATTTTTTTAAAAACAAAACGTGTGAATCGCTTAGATTCTTTGAATTTTTTCATAAATAAAACGTCGGCAACCCCGGAAGTTTTTTCAAGTTTCTTTCAGTTTTTTCAAAAATAAAATGTCAGGGGCTCTAATTTTTCCGAGATTCCTTTGTTTGACAGAGGTTAAGTCAGGTCAAGCCAGGTTA